ATCTACAAAAGTAGTTTCTGTCGATTTGAACTGCTATGCGGTGTCGAAGCTCATTTCTGTTTGGAGCTTTTCCTGGCAGGGATCATCCACGCCCCCCCCCCCCCCCCCCCCACCCCTTCTTCGATGCCTACTGCCCCTCTCCGACCTCCCTCATGCTCCCGTAGTGAAGTGGCAGCCTCAGGACTGGTCGGTTTGTCTCACTATCGATAAGAGTGCTCAGCGCTCAGCTCCCTGTCCAGAATTGACCCCTTTTCCCATTTTCTGTCTCTTGCCGAGCTCAGGAATGGCCAAACAATGTTTGTCTGATTGGTAAAAGAGTTGATTTTTCATTTACGGAAACTGTCCAGAATTGAACCAACGAGAACGGTACTGTATGTCGAAGCAACGAGGACGCGGGCCGTTTCCAAGACGTGACGATGACGCCACGGAGTTGGGATCGGGATTTGTACTGCACCTTGACCCGGTTGACCCGGTTTTGGGTAGATGAGGTGTTTACAGAAGCAACAATACATCCAGTTATGCTCGCTTGAACACTGTGGAACTGCTTGACTTGCGGGCCCCTTAACTTGTGTGAACAAGTCTGCACGCATCGACATTATTTCTGTCGTGTCATAAATCTTATTATAATAATACTATGACATAGCAGAATGTAGCGAAGAACAACCACTGCTCGACGAAGTAGAGAGGCCGAGATCACAATACAAAATAGTGACCGAGGCCAAACGTGCACCCTGGAATGCTTTAACGAAAGAGCCTTTCAAGGTCGATCTCCTCGATCATCGCATAATATACTGTATACAGTATCTCTTTCTCTCTTGTCGTTGTCAACAACGACAAGAGAGAAAGAGATTCGGAGAGAGGGAGATAAAGAGAAGAGCAAGCGCCGCTTTGCCACCGCCGCGTATTCAAATCCAAACAACACCCCCTATTCCCAAACACCATGGCTGATCCGTACAGTATCTTGGGCCTCACCGGCCCGGCTAAGCCAGTCGTCCGCCTCATCGCAAGCCTCATCAAACGACACAAAGCCTACAAGGAAAACAAAACGCTCTCTACCGAAATGCTCACCGCGTACACCACCTTGCAGGCAGACATCACGGAGCTGAAAGGCAAGCCGATCCATGGAACGTCGACGCAGCACACGGGCTTGCTCCAACGTGAAATCGAGGGCCTCTCAAGCTTCATATCGAAGTCCCTCGATGAGCTGCAGAAAGAGTTGGACGACCCAAAAGCGAGACTCAGTTCGTACGCCTCTGCAATGGGAGATCGAGAAGTCCTAGAGACGCGCAAGCAAGAAGCGGACCGCCTTCACGATCGTATTCTACGAACAAGCGCGGGCATCGATACTCGCGCGACTCGCGCGGCCGTCGAGTCGATCAGGCGAATCACGGGTGATACGTTCAGGCCATCGTTAAGAGCCGAAAGTAATCCTGCGTCGATAAATGTGAAGCTTGATTCTCAGGGGAACGATGGATTACCGAACACGTGTGAGTCGCGTCTAAAAGCGGCTGTGCTACGGAGAGATAGGAACGAGCAAGTGGGTGCGACAGCAATGGGACAGGGCGGAGTCGGGAAGACATGTGCCCTACGAGCGATCGCGCATGACTTTGAGATTAAGGCGGAGTTTTCGGGAGGAGTGTACTTCATGTCGTTGGGGAAAGACGGAAACGTGGGACGGCTGATTGAAGAACTGTGTCTGATTGTAGAAGCGTCCGGTGGCAAGCCGACGGCTGCAGAAATGCGAGAGCAGAGCGAGTTTGAAAGGGTTTTGGTGAAGGTACAAGCGTGGTTTTGCAGTCATGTTTGTCTGTTCATCATTGACGATGTGTGGGTGGTGAATGATATAGACGCGAACATCCTTCAAAAGTTGTCTGTTCTGACTGGCACTGCGGGGGGCAGCGAGGGAAGGAGGAGCAGACTACTGTACTCCACGAGGGATAGGGAGCTGCATCAGATTGGGGAGCGGGTTGCTTTCGAGCCGAGGGAGAAGGTAGGGAAAGAAGCAATTGACATACTTGTGCACGCGAGTGAGGCGAATCGAGAGGAATTGGATGACGCGAGATGCAAAGAGGCCGTGAGTGAAATACTGGAAATGTGTGGCGGATTGCCACTTGCCCTGAACGTGGCGGGAACGAGTGTGAGGGACATGAGGGAAAGATGGGAGGGAGAAGTGTCAGAAGCATGGGGGGCGTACCTTTTGAGGATGAAGAGGCGTAACACGATTCGCGGGGAGGGTCCGAAGGACGGATATTCGTCGTTGGATGGGACATTGCATACGTCACTGGATATCCTGGAGTCCAATTTGGGGAGCAGCAGAGAGACGGTTGGTGACTTTTCGTTTCGAAAGATGCATCGAAGTCTGTGCGTTATGAAGAAGCAGGGCCGGATACCCTTGAGTTTGGTTGGAGATTTGTGGGAGCTGGACGAGGAGTGGACGGAAAAGTGTGCAAAGGAGATGGAAAGGGTTGGATTAGTAGAAGTGCAATATAAGAAGGGTTGTGATGAGTTGCGGGTGCATGATCTGACGCATGATTTCGCGGTGGAAGAAGCGAAGAAGAAGGAGGGTGTAGAAGAGTGGTGTAAGAAGATGGCAGATGTATGCAGGGCAGGAGGTGGGTTGCTTGCAATGAGTGATGGCCAGGACGGAGAGGGCAATAGCGCGCGAGAGGAGTATGTTTTCGAGAACATATACCGTGTTCTGAAACAGGGTGGGTGTGTGGAGGAGCTGAAGAGACTATTTTTGAGTGCGCGATGGGTGAAGACAGTGATACGGAGAGGCGGGGTTTGGCAATACGAGGAAGCTGTGAAAGGATTGAGTAGAGACTTGAAGCGGAAAAGAGGAAGCGGGAAGGTGGGAAGGGGTCGGGTCGATGAGGATGCAGTGGATACAATGGTTTTGATGATGCGGGCTGCGCGACTGGGTGTACCGTTTTGTGGTGAAAGTAATGCCGGGATTTACTTTCAACTATATGGGCGAGTGAAGCACAAGGCACGGGATTCAGGTTGTGTGCGAAAGATGCTGGAGGAAATCGAGAGATACGCACCACGGCCGTGGGTGCGGCCTGTGAGTGAGTGCGTAGCGCGAGCTGATGGAAGGTTAGTGGAGCAGATTGTTCTTCCATATGAAGGTACTGGACGAATTCAAGTGGGCATGGATTCCAGGGGTGAAGTGTATGGATGTCAGGTGGAGGAGTGCGGGGCAGGACTAACAGTTTTCACGCAATCTGCTGAGAAGGAGACGAAGATGGTTCGATTAGACGGCGAGTTCGAAACAGAGTGCCAGGACCCAGGGGACGTTGAAGCAAGCAGGCGCAGAAGGGGTGGGCGTTTGAGGGCATGTCTTCGGATGTGCATTGGAAGTGTAACATCCGAAGTGAGTGGAGAAAAATCGAGCATGACGAGAGCTACCTGCGCAAAATTCTGTGAGAGGAAGGGGGATGTTGTTGTGGGATATGAAGACGGGACGTTAAGGCTGTGGAGTACGTCGGAGAGGAGAGTATTGAAAAGTTTCCGCGGGCACAGATCGCGAGTGCGTTGCGTTGCGATGAGTGGGGACAGAAGACGTGTGGTATCTGGATCGTGGGACAAGAGCGTGCGGGTGTGGGACGTGGAGACGCGAGCACAAGTCGGAGACGCGTTAGTTGGACACACGAGTAGTGTGGGTATCGTTGCGATGAGTCGAGAGGATGGGTCTGAGGCTGTCTTGGCCCAGTTGGACAATGTAAGAGACTTGAGATAGACCGCGATCACGGGGGTGCGGTCGGACGGTCGGGTCATCTGGTTGCTATCATGAAGCTAGTGGTGTAAGTAAGTATCGAAGTGCGATGGCCGCTTGCCGCACGAGACATTAGTGGTGCGTTGCAACTGCGCGGTAGTAGTGGGGAGGGTTTTTTGTTTTGTTATGGATGGCTGAGAAGCTTTTTTTTTGCTTGACGGACTTGCAGTCCATGTATGTGCATGTATGAACTAGCGACCTGCTTCCCTTCATCGTGCGCTCTTATCCCCAATATATTATCTTGTGCAATAAACAAAACTAATGTGCAGGCACCTGGCCATCACATGCGTGAGTTGCGTGCGAGTAAAGTGTAGAGGTACATTACAAGTAGGGTACCCCCTATTTGGGACAATTTTCAGATTTTAAACAGAACAGAGGTCCCCGAGCGCCGATTTGATGTCTACTGAGAGAGTAGAACACAGCCTTTCACATCCTGTAGCACATATTTGACCACGGAGCATTTCTCAGATGAGACGGTCAGTTTCTTCAGGCAGTTCACTCAAGTCAAAATGGCAATATGGGAAATCCGAGACTAACAATTGTAGGGGTCTTCGCGCGTTTGTCATACTACGATTGTATAGCTTTAACGGGGTCAAAATCACAGGTTTTTGACTACATTAGCACCTGTATCATACTGTATAGACTTTACTTCAACGAAGCTTAGGTAAGCACATGTCAAATAATTTTACTGATTTGCTTCAACCGGTGGAGATGCTCGAAGTTTCGTTGTAGCAGTTTTTTAAAACTGCTTCAACGGTAAACCGTTCATCCAACAAATCGCGGTGCTCTGGATGCAATGCTTCGCACAGTAGCGCTTACTGCCAATGATTCTATGGTAATAAAATCTGATCACAACCGCAAGGCTGCGAATGGGTTTTCACCCGGACTCAGTTTTGCTGCATTTATACCCGAGCGCTGCTGTCCCCGAAGTATTTTGAAACATCAAGTACTCGCCTCCCAATCTCAGTTCTCTCACCTCGAAGTGCATCTACTCTTATCCACCGACTCTATCCGAAAACATGGCTCGTCTTTTCATGTTCGCTTTCATCCTTGCTGCTCTTCTCGCTTCCACCATCGCGGTTTCCACCCCCAACAAGGAGACCCCTGCCGTTGACGCAAGCAAGGTGACACTCGAGGGAAAAGCTCGAATGAATATTTGTCCTAGGGTCTACATGCGTTGTAGCAATGGTGAAGATTGCATTGGCAGGATGTGGCCGGGTTGTGATTGTTGCAAAAATGGTGTTTGCGGCGCCTGCTACTAGTCATTGTAACTCTTTGGCGTACCTTCGTTGATGGATTGTAGGCTGCAGTGAATCGCTCTTTTGCGCCGTCAACAACAAGTATGCCCCTCGTTCTTCAGTCTGTCGCTGTCTCAATTGAGCGCAGACGAGTCACCGACTCCGCTGACTACCGTATTTCTAGCTACGCCCCCTTACGGGGCGTTTCTCTCATTACAATATGCGTAAAGATCCCGTCCGTGACATTCTTGTACGGCCCGAGGCGCACTGGAACAGTGGTCTGAAGCATTGGGGAAACACACAATTATCATCGTTCTCGACAAAAACATCTTTCTAGCATTATACTCCTGTTGGTCCTCCCCCAATAAATCTCCTCTGATCGCAAACATTACGTGTTGTCAGCACCGTAGCCATCTGCCCCCCTCAAGCGACAATCGTCGATGAAGCGCTCTGAGCTTAACCTCGCCCAAAAGCAACAAATATGTGCAGAGTTCCAACGGCGCAAAAAGAGCAAGGAGCAGACGTCACAAAGCGCCCTTGCGAAGTGGGCCTCAGTACAGTTATCCCTTTCCAAACCTCCTGCTCCAGCTTTCATGTCCCGCATCATCAGCGGAAAGTATGGTTTTCGTCCCGATATCTCTGCGTACCAAGAAGGGGAATTGCACAGTCCAGACGACGATAAATACATTTTTTAAAAGTAAAGCACAGACATTCTGAGAGATGCAGGTCACCGTGACACCGTTATGATACGGTCTCCGGATGTGAATAACCTCCGCAAATGGATACAGTCGACCCTACGCATTAGTGCCGCCCTATGTAAGGACTAGTAATACGGCACTAATTCGGAGCGGCACAATCAGAAAGCAGAATCACTACCCGGCCAGAACTCTGTTATTAGAGTCTGCTGTTGTTGCCTTCGACCCTGTCTCTCATGCCTAGCTTCTAGAAAAGCTCGTTTTGCGGACCTCAAGTGCGATAAGGCATTGCTCACATCGCACTCCACACCCAGACTCTCCAAAGACCCAAACAACCTTGCTAGCACTACAGCACTCGGTACGGCCCGCCTCTCCGTAATTTCACACTCGTCTTCTGCCACACAATTATCCATCATAGCATCACTGGCAGACTGATTCTGTAGCTCTCCACCATAATGTATTGAATCGCAAGCATCACTAATAGAAGCTTCTGCCACAAGCTCATTAGTCTCGATCTCAATCCATTCCTCCACATCTTTCCTGCAGAATTCTGCAGTTTCTGCAAGGCCGTCTTCTGGCACCAGGCTCAGTCGGGAGAGAAACCCTACTATACCATCCACCATAGATTTATCAATTTCTGTTTCATTTCGACCAACTTTCCGACCTGCAGCAAATGCTCAACCTCGATTTTCTGTGTAAACGTAAGGCGCGTACGCTTCGCTTTGGCGATCTTTTCAGGATTCATGTTAGGGTCTTTGAGTGAGGTGCCATCACGTCACCAAGTGAGCTGAGGCGCATGAGGAGTGGCCGATGACGACGTCGTGCATGACACGTGGCAGAACCTGTGTCTGCCGGTTTTGGCGGCACTAATTCGAGGGTGGCAATAATGAAAGCGGCACTATTAGCCCTTTTTTATTAACGAAAATCGCAACTAAATATGCGAATATTTAGGAAAGTGCGCGAAATCCTGTTTCAATTAGGAAGACCAGTTCCGACTAAAAGGTATGCTATTTTCCAACTGTACGGAAAATGACTATTTTAGCAAGTCAGGGCGGGAAGGCGCCCACTAAATTTGAAGACTGTTTCTCTTAACCTCCTTCCTCTTCGCCTCCTTCCCCTTCGCCTCCTTCCTCTTCGTCTCCTACCTCCCCCTCCGCTTCCTCCCTACCCTCCTCCCGTGTCTCCTTCCGTCTGCGCCTTCAAATACCCCCGCCATGACGGACGCTATCCTGCGCAAACCCCCAAACACAAAACTCACAGCCTATTAAGGCCTCTCAACTGTGCCACGCCGTCCTTCCCAACAGCCCCGATCCCGTCTAGCCGCGAAGAGGCGCTCGCTCACGCCGCCTACCTGACGCCAACCCTATGTTTGCCTGCTCTGCTTCATCACAGCGCCCGCCTACGCCGCACCTCCGAGTTTCTCGAGCGCAAACTGAACCTGTCCAAGCACCGCCACTCCACTCACCTGCCGTCTGCCTCCAACATTTCGCTGGCGGCCATCAAGCAGGCATCGTAGCTACGGCCCGAATGGGCGGCCTTGTCGGACGCCGAGGCTCTCGCGACGGCGCGCCTGCAGAAGGCCCGCGTTCGCGGCGCTCCACATATCCGCCGGACGCCGCGCGCCCTCTGCCGGCGCTCATGTCGGCGTACCGGGACCTGACCGACCTGTGCACGGACCCCGTGGTCATGATTTCCACGAACGTTGAACAGCTTTCGTAACTCTGCATGAACAAGGGCGTGTAAACTGTCAAACTCTTCGCGAGACAAATGGGTCAATTTTGTAAAAAGAGAGAAATCGTCGTCTTCCTCGCGAACGAAGTTGTACAAACGCGACGGATCTCTTCGCACATATTGCGCTTTTGTTCGGTCAACGCTGTGGCCCCGCCCAAGCCCAGGCTCGTCGTCACTTGACGAGGTACTGTGATGCAAAAAATCTCGAGCACCGGAAGCGAACTGTGCGGCAAGGTGGGAGGTATGCTGCACTTGTGCCTCAAACTGCGCGACCATAGCAACAGCCGTTGAGAGGTCATCGTCTTCCGAACTCATGTTCGGATTGATGTGAGTTGTTGACAACTATGAACGCTCAGAGGCCTCTGAGACCGAAGCACGGCCTCTTAAATTAATACTCTTCACGCTGCACACGACGCTGCTTGCTTGTTTTCACTACTAATTTGATACAAGAAATGTGTAGCATCAGCGCGGATCAGAATTAGATTTAGAATTAGATCGCGCGCGCGCAGACACGTGTACTGTCAGTACTGTCAGGACGCCGGCACACACGTGTACTGTCAGTACTGTCAGGACGCCCGCACACGTGTGTACCATCGGCACGCGCGAGCACACGTGTATTGACAGCGCTACAGTAGCTGAGTAGGGCAGCTCAGCACTGTAACGCGCTACAGTGCAGTACGGACTGTACTTTAGCCCTGTATGATAGACGCGATAGACGCGTAACTGTATATTAAACCACGGGCACCGGCGGCGGCGGAGGGGAGACAAGCATCGGCTTGGCCAGAACCTCACCGTCGGCTAACCCGGAACGCTTACTCTAACTCGCGCACGCTCTCTCTGTTCGCGTTTTAGAGTAGAAGGACAAGGGTAGCGGACGCGTACGTGCGCGAGCTAGGATCCGCCTCCGCCCGTCGGTACTGGAACGTCACCCAGTACCGCGCCGGGGCGTCGAGGCGTCGATCCGCTCTACCGCGTACACTAACGCGTTCGCGACCCGACCCGCTCTACCACCGCTACCGGCCCGTGTCCTTCCTCACGCGTTGCTTACTGGTCCTTTCTGTTCTTCTCGCGTTCTACAGGGCCTCTTACGCGGACTGAGCATACACCCCTGTCGTTGGGGTGTTTATGCTACAGTGGTCCTCCGACCTAGAAGGCCACGCGATTATCGCGAGAAGAATATCGTTCGAATCCGCGTCCGCGCGCGTCGAAATGGAAGAAGGAACCGCAAACTCGATTCAGACGGAACCGGCGAATATGGAGTCAACCGCGCGCCGCGCCTCCGAGTCAGGGGCGCTGCGCG